GAACATATAAGTTAACTATTGGAGTTAAATTGTGCCGATAGTTCTATACGCTCTCCCAAAACAATAGTAACAATATCCATCCATTTATGTCAGATATCCGAAACGGATTACCCGAATCATCCGAAGTATTAGGGAGAACCATTCTAGTATCACTATTCTAAAAAATTTCCCCAAATCGATTTCAAAATCAGGTGTTACGCAAAAAAAACACGAAAAATCAAAACAAACTAAAAAATCCTTTATAGTTCACATTTTATCTATGTAATTATTGCCTTCTGCGCACTAACAAAATGATTTCCTTGCGAAAGTTTAACTTTATTTGCTAACTTTACTATCTATGTATTTAAATTCGGATCTTTTACAAATGAATATTTTTTTATTTACTACAATTTACAGTAATATAATTAATATAATTCACAATGGCACAACGTCTGACATATAGGCGCCGCTTGAGCTATAAAACCAGATCTAATAGAACCAGAGTAATCAAAACTCCTGGTGGCAAACTTACTTGCTATACGAAAAGAAAGGTCCTCACCGTGGTGATTGTGGGTGCAGGCTTCAGGAATTCCAGCTCTCCGACCACGCCAATACGCACGAATTTCTAAGCGTCAGAAGACAGTTCGACGAGCTTACGGTGGTAGTCGTTGTGCTAGATGCGTGAAAGACCATATCGTCCGTGCTTTATTGATTGAAGAACAAAAGATTGTTAAGAGGGTCCTCAGGGTCCAATCCCAATCCAAACCTCCGCCCAAAAAATAATTTAACAAGATTAAAATCTTTTTATTGCCGCAGTTTTTTTTTTTTTGAAAAATGACTCGGGTCAGTTCTTAATGTTGATAAGACTTGCATACAATAATAAAACTGATTAATTGCATATTAAATGAATACGTATTTGCAATGACATAATACAAATAGTTCTTTTACTGTCATGTACTTTTTTTTCTTCGTTGTACTTACGGATTTACAATTTACAATTTTCTATCACCAATGAGAAATAAGCAGAGTTTGAACCTTTACTGCAGATGAACTACTACTTGCCAAGCTTGTAATAATAAAGACTCAATTCATAACAGTTAAACCACTTTTAACCTAAAATATTCATATAAAAATTCAAACAGTCCAACTATAATAAAATTGAAATTTCTTTTAAAAAAATTGCTACAAATTATAATCAAGCCACTATCGAAAATTTGCTATACTCGAGACAACATGGATGCGTTCTATTTTTTAAAGCAATAATATTGAAAATATTTTGCATACGTACGTATATAAAATTTTGATTATACTTCGTGGAACACACATGTGAAGAGTATGTTTAATCAATACTTTTTAAAATTATATTGACTACAAAATGGCCTATGCCGTTTTCTAATTTAAAAATGAAATATGGCATTAATAATTGAAATAATTGAAAAATGATGCGAAAATGCAGATTTGAATATACACATAAGTTTAAATGCGTCGTAATTGAGAAATGACGCATAACATATCTAGTCCGATTGTCTCTTTATACGTATAACGGTCTTTGCAACATTCGTTTGTATTGTTTATTCTATACCAATTACCCGTCATATGATGACGGGCTCTAATACTAGTATACATCATAATTAAAAAACAGTATACAATCCGGATAATTTATCGGATTATTCGGATATCCATCCATTTAACTCATCTTATCCAATTATTATTGGATATCAGAT